CTCCATAACATTCACCCAGGACCTAGGCTACCTGGTCTAGCACACTGACAAGGTCAAAAGCATCCAGAGCTATTGGCAGACAACTACATGCAGCACATGATAATCTACTGTAAGTTGCCAGATATCTTTTGCCTTCTTCTCTGGATGCACAACTAAATACACCTTAGAAGGAACATAAAGAGGCAGGTTTCCATTTACTTTCTTTGCATCTCCTACCATTCTCACATGGTTTTCAGCCTCTTTCTTTATTTGGTGAAGGTGGATGGAAGGTCAGCAAAGAAGAATAGGAAATAGTAGTGGAGAAATACCTAGAAAATGGAATATCTACAGAGAAAAGGAATGGAGAGGACACAGCAAAGTAATTACTTTACAGAATTTCAGAGTTGGAAAGGACTTCCATGGATATTTAGTCCATACAATACAATAAAAAGAATCCTCACTCATATTCCTGACAAGTAGTCATCCATCTTTTTTCTCGAAGACCTCCAATGGGGGGAACTCAGTATTCTTGGACTGCCAAGATTTTCATGACATCAAACTTAAATTTGTCTCTTCACAGCTTTCACCTCTTGTTTCTGGTTCTGCTTTTTAGGGCCAGAGAGAATTTTTCCTCCATGTGACAACCCTTCAAATACTTGATAGAAAACAGTCATGTCTCCCATGAGTTTTCTCTGCTCCAAGTTAAACAACCTCAGTTTAATACATCGTTGTTTTATTTTCATGTCAAAGAGGAAGAGTACTTGTCACTTAGAATTATAGGAAGACATCTTACAGGCGATCTAGTCCAGCCCCTTTCATTTTATAAATGAGATAACAGAGACCCCGATTGATGAATGAATGCATGATTGAACAAATAAAAAAAAAGCATATATTAGGCACTGTGCTAGGTGCTGGAGATACAAATACAAAAGTGGAGATAGTTTTTGCCTTTAAGAAGCTTATATTCTAATAGGAGGAAACAACTGTATAAGAGAGTGGTAGCCAAGGAGGGATGTTTAGATCTGGAAAATTATAGCAAGGATGAGCGGATCCACAAAGATTACGGTCCTAGAACTGGAAATGGGGGTGGGGTATGTGTGTATGAGATATGGAGGGTCTGCATGAGGCATCTGGCAAAATCTCCGGGCAATAAAGTAAAGTATGTCTAGAGCTGGCATAGATGTACTGGGTCACATGAGGAAGTCACCAGTCAGGACAGCAGAATCCAAAATGATTTGCCCACAGTCAAAAAGGTAGCATCAGAGTGGAATTCTTGGTAAGAGAAAACTATAGAGACTGAAGTGGCTCACTTATGACCTTGTGTAGGTCACTAACTTCACTGGGCATATTTCTTCATCTGTAAAATGAGGGGAGGTGAGAGAAACCATAGATATCTTCTAATTTCACCCCTTAATTGTTATAGGTGAGGAAAATGAAGCCTAGAGGCTGACTGACTTGTCCAGGGTTACAGAGGTCATAAATAGGAGAATTGTGATTGGAACCCAGGTTTTCTGATGGGGGGAGAGTTATTATTTATCTTTTGTTTATATTTTGCCTCCATGTCTACATGTATAAAATTTTAACATGATAATATAAATAAACATCATAGGAACCTTAGGTATGACAGCTGACCCTCAGACCACTGGTCCTTCTTCCTGCCCAGCCCCATATCCATCATTTGGGAAAGTGACTCCTGTAGAAAATGGCTCTTTACCAACTGTCAAACACATGCCACATATTAAGCAGGCAAGCCAGCTGAAGCAGCAGGGCACCCCAAGGAAGAGACAGGAGGCCGTATGTGCCAGGCAAGTCAAACCACCACTACTACCACCTTGACCATCATCTCCCCTCAGACTTCCCAAGACTGTGAACCAAAAGCCTTAGCAATAGCAATGCTTCTGGCAGTGTCCTAAGCTATTATCCTGGGAAACAACCCCTGTGGAGAAGCAACCTGATAGCTACTCCTGCAGGTCCTATGGCCATACTCAAAAAAGGAAAGTTCTTGCCACTAAAGTCCTTGGCACTGTCAAATGGTTTAACATCAGGAATGGATATGAATTTATCAGTGGAAATGGCTTTAGGGTCATGACCATGGGACCTTTTCATTGGTCTTATAGCTGATACTTTCTATATATGTTGTCCTTGAGAGCAGGGACTGTTTTAGTGCTTAGCACTTGCTAAGTACTTAATAAACGCTTTATTTATTCATTCATAAATTAGCAGAAGATAGGATCTATTTCTAATTCCTTTGAATTCATAAATAGTTGTGGATGATGGTATAGGGCTTTCCCACAAATGGCAGAGGCTTAAATTCAGGTAAATTTGCATTATGCAGGGAATAGTGCCCTAGGCCTAGAATCAGGAAGATCTGAGTTCAAATCCAGCCTCAGATACCTACTAGCTGTGTGACCCTGGGCAAGTCACTTAACCTCTATTTACTTCAGTTTTCTGACCTGTAAAATGAGGATAATAATAGTACCTATCTTCCAGGGTTGTGAAAATCAAATGAAACAATAATTGTAAAGCACTTAGCACAGTGCCTGGCACACATAAGCATTATATAAATGTTAGCTATTTTTATAATTATCCAATTAGTGACTTCTTTCCAGTTCTGATTCTTCAAACCTAGGGATCTTGAATTCTTTTCCACTTGGGAGCAGTTTTTTATTTCATTCAGTTCTTATCATCATTGCTGCTGGAACTAGGGTGAGGATGAGGGTGGAGTGCTGACAGTGTAGATCACTGACTAACTAGGGCAGTGAAGGGGTGCAAATTAGTGGCTGGGCATGTTGAAAGTACAAGTCAATGTTGGGGAATAAGGCAGAGTAGTAGCTCTGATAGAAACTAGATAGGGCTCAGGGATAAAAAAAAAAGCCTTCTGGGGCCTCTCATTTTAGCTGCTTTTGTGCTTTTTTGTATCTCTAAAATTAGAGTATGTGGAGGTAAAGTAATCACAACTTTATATGTAGTGCTTTAAGTTTGACAAAGCTCTTTCCTCACAATAACCTTGTGAGGTAGGTAGCATAAGTATTATTGTCTCCATTTTATAGACGAGGAAATTGAACAGAGAGGTTATGTGCCTTGTTCATGGTCGTGCTTCTTAAGTATCTAAGCTCTCATTTGAACTCCGATTTCTTCCCTCCAAATTCAGTGTACTTTCCAGTATAGCAAACTAACTCTCAACCTCAAACTTTTCTGGTTTTTTAATACTTTTTGGCAGCATTATACTTGCATTCAAGAGAAAACTTGAAGTAATGGACTAAAAAGAGTTTTTCACATTATCTCTTGTTTTCAGGTATTGATTCTGTTTCCTCAGATTAGATAAAAATGAACACTTGCTATAACAATGTATGACTTTCCCCCCATACCTGAAATGCCTACAATTGCCAACAACTTTTGTGTCTAATATATGGTTCCAATATATTATTGGAGGAGATAGAAATTTCTTCTGGGGTTGATGAATCAGGAAATCCAATTCTAGTGAAATTTTTTTGTGTTTGAAAAAGACCCCATACTGCATCTCAAAATTCTACCCTCAGGGAAGGAGCTGATGACCTTAAAAAACTTAGTGCAATGTGAGTCAGATCTCCCAGGTTCTATTTCTGGTTCTGCTACTGGAATATTACATGACCTTGCATAAAAAAAAAGAAAAAAGTGTGCATTTTCTCCAAATAATAAAGATAATCTTCATTAATCCTCAGAGCAATCCTGGAAGCTTGGTGGTAAGCAACTTTAATTCCTCATTTTAAAATTGCAAAAGCTAAGAGGAATAGGTGATAGGGTCATAGGCCTAGTGATAAAAGAAAATCCACTGTCCCTATAATAAGGAAACTGAGTGAAGTGACTTCCTCAAGGTCACACAGGTAGTAAGCAAGCATCAGAGACAGGGTTTGAACCCGCTGACTTAGAGCACGTGATCTTCCCACTGTTATCAAGCTTCCTTCCATTGCTCCATTGCCCAACGACTCAGGGGTCGTCCGAAGTTAAAATGAGAATCTAATAATTCTAATTTACAGCCTAGTGCAATACCTGCACGGGCTGTCATACCCAGTCAGCTGACTGAGACAGTATCCTTCTGAGCTGGAGGACCCAAGAAAGCCGGTTTCAATTTGAAATGCCAAAAATTCTTCTGCATTGAGTAAATATGGGGAGCACAATTTTATATTAATAAAAAGGATTAAAATTGCCGGTGGCCCAAACATTTATTCCAAAACGGAGACTCAAATTACTCCTATAAAGACAACTTGTAGGCTTCTAGCACTGAGATGACATGATTGTGTCCTACTAACCCAGCAAACTGTGCGCGCCTGGAGAGGAAAGTCACTACAAGTCCCATAGTGCAGCGGGGCGAGGAGGAGTAACAAAGGTCTCCCTCATACCCGCTTCGGGAAGCTGGCCTTGGTTTGGAAGACAATCCCCAGGCCCGGTTCAATGAAGGACTACATTTCCCAGCAGGGGGTGCGGCACGTGCTAAGAAGATAGGCGAAGGGAGAAAGGGAGAAGGGAAGGGCGATGAGAACATCTCACACAGACCTCTTCCTCTGTCCCATGCCGAATGACACTTGGCACTTTGCACGCCGGGATTTGTAGTTCTAGAGCTGTTCGGAGGGAGGGTAGTCTTTGTCGCGCGCTTCTCAGCTTTTTTTTTTTTGGTTGGGGGTGGGAGGGGGAAGGAGGAAAGAGGCGCCTGGTCTGTAGGACTCTTGCGCTTGCGCGTTGGGACCTTGGTGGGGCGGGGGCGGGGGCGGGGGCGGGGCGGAGTCACGGCCAAGGAGATCCTGGACTGGCTGAGCGCATGAGTTTGTGGATTGGGCGGGGGCCCGCTGGTCGCCTTCTCACGTGGTGTAGGGCTGGTCAGTTCCGTGTTGACACCTCCTTCCTTCCCTCCTCCCCCTTTTCCCCATGCCGGGCCCCTCCCCTCCTTCCTGGAGCCCCAGAGGAGGCAGCCGCGGGCAGGCGGCGGCCGTGGTGGTTTTGGGGGCAGTGGATGAGTGGTCGTGGCGGGTAGGGGCGGGGGAAGCGCTCTCGTGGGTAAGAGTGTGTGTGTGTGAGCGAGTGTGTGTGTGTGCCCACCTCGGCGCGGCAGTGACCGTATGCAGTAACCCGGCGCGGCGGAGGCGGCTACCTTCCCCCCGAGGCTCGGTGCTCGGGCGCCCGCAGCGGGATGTTCTCCCGGAGGAGCCACGGGGATGTCAAGAAATCGACCCAGAAAGTGCTGGACCCGAAGAAGGACGTGCTGACCCGCCTGAAGCACCTCCGAGCGCTGCTAGGTGAGGGAAGGGGGGGTCGTCCCGGCGCGTTGCTAGGTGACTGGGGGCGGGGGAGACCAGGGGGGGCGCACTCGGCTGCACTGGGGAAGGGGCTTCGGGGCTCACCTGCCCAGCGCGGCGCGGGATCTTCCCAGAGGGCCACCTTGCCCACCCTTTGGCTGGGTAGAAAACTATCCGGAGTTTCCGGGTGCTGAAAGGAGCGTCTTAGAAGAGGCTCCCAGATGGTGGTGGGGCCCCATAAAGAGGAGTACGGGGCGCACTCCTCCCCCCAGATCCCCTCCACAGTTCTCTGGGAGAGACAAAGTGAATTGGGGCTTGGAGGGCGAAGAACTGAGCAGTGTTGTTTTATTTATGACAGTCGTTGGCTTAGCACAGTGCCTAGCGCTTAATAAATATTTATTGAATGTAATTGAATTGGACTGGCCACATCGGAAAGGTTCGGACATGTTAGAAAAGGTTCCTAAAGTGGGTCTGGGCTGTTGGGTCTCATAGGTAACCCCCAGGGCTAAGGACAGCCTTTGCCCTCAGATCGCTTCACTTTGAGAGTAGACACAGAAACAAGGGCACCAAGTGGTCACAACACACACTCCAACTTTTCAGTCCTAGCTGGCTGTGAAATGGTTGAGTTTGTATTTTGACACCTGCCCCGGAGTTGAGAGAGGATTCACCTTTCACACCTTTAGAAATAAAATGATCATGATTTTACTGCTTCTCAACTTTTAAGGGCTGGTGGTGGGTCATGAGTGGTCTTCCGATGGGTGGTACGGTAGTTGATAATGATGCCAACCCATCTGGGTGTGAAAGTGCTGGCAATACTTCCTGTCACTTTGAATAGTGCATGTATTCTTGCTGATGAATTGGGGTTTGGCTTCTGGCACAGATGCTTTGTTTTGGTTTCCATTTTCTTATCTTTCTAGACTGTTTCATTTAAAATGAAAACTTTTTTTTTTTATCGTTATGGATTGCTTTATCTTAGCCTAACTGTATGGCAACCAAAACCAAATTAAGGTGTATTTTTTCTAAGAAAAAGTTTGACAAAGTCTTAATGTGACCATTAACATCCAGACTTAAGCATTTGACTCATAAACTAATATGGTGGAGTAAAATTTTTGTTTTGTTTTAATGAATGAAGATTTTTATAAATCTAATTAGCATAAGAGTTGCTGGTCATTTTCACTTAAATTCCTTGTCAAATTTAGACTCTCTGACAGGAAAACAGCAGATTATACTGCACAAAACTATCCTGACTTCTATTTCATGAAGATCACACAATCTTGGTTTAAAATGAAAGATAGATAAATACTTGTTGACTGACTTGTTTATTGTTAGTGACTTTAGTAAGCTAGTTTATAATTTTGATGACAATGAACTCTGATTTTCTTTGTGCATTAAACTTTCCTGCTTCCCTCTTCGTGTTGCCTTGTGTAGTATTCTAGATTAATAGTAAATGATCAATACTACCAACTAGTGATATTTTTGTTAAAGTGCAAATTGAAAGCATTTGCTATGTGGTGAATGTTTTGTCTTAACTTTTGTTCTACATGAGCCCACAGAATTGACTATATTTTGTAAAGTCTGGTCCAGTTTAACCTAGTTCAGTTTAGTTTTTTAGGCAAAAGTGTATTCCTGCCACTTTCAAAAAGATATTTTTCAATCTACCCTGTGTTGATTGTTTCAATGTAAGCTTTATGTGTCATTTTAAGGCACCTCATCACATACCTGATCTATGAGGCTTGCATGTTGCCACAAACATCTTTAGTTTTGTAAAATTCAGAAGGTAGTTATCAGTTTTCTCATTAATTGTATGCATGTATTTTTGTATGATGTGACAGTCATGATTAAATACATTTGTTTTTTGAAATATGGCAAAGATTTTGTGTTGTGCTACATGGAATCAGATTGTGGTCCAATGTTTCTGGAAATTTGTAGTCCTTTAATGTATATATATAGAGAGAGAAAGAGAGATAGAAAATTTAATTATTTATTTACAGCCATATCATATACCTTGCTTCGGTGCTACTTTTAGAACCTGAACATTTAAAAAAAAATAAAGCTTAAATTGAAAGATGTAAATTAAGCCGTGGTTCTGGGAGCTGTTTAGAGATAATAGTAATTACTATTTTAAAATTGCATTTGTATAGTACTTTTTATATACTATCTTCTTAATATTTTCCTCTTTATACAAAAATGGTGCTGTCAATACTCCATTAGTAAGATAGGAAATAAGTTTTGTGGCCCTTTTTGGTAGCTGGTGATCTATTCTTTATGAACAGTATGTATTTCAAGACAAATGGCTAAGATTAGTAATATGATCTGTGACATGAAGTTGAGTATTTCTCTGTGGCCTGGTAACTAGCTCCATTATACTGTTAATAAGTGAGCTTACATACACACATATATATTTACATACACATGTATGTATATATGTAGCAGGTTGGACAGATACTCAATCTCATTTTGTAGATGGGAAAACTGAGGTACAGTGGCTACACTAATTAATGAACACATTAAGAGCTTTAGGTGTATTGCCTTTCCAGGTCAGGTGTCCAGACTACTGTTTAAATTTTGTCATGGGGGATATCAACCACCTATATAAAACCTTATAGATATCAAATGAAAACTCTGATGTCTCATTATAACTGGATTCTCAAAGGCTGTGCTGGTAGGGCATAAATTGTGGAAGGTCCTACCAAGTGGAAAAGTTAGGATGAAGGAAGAAGGGGAAGCATTTCAGAAAAAGATAAAAGCCTTAATGTAGTTATGGAAGTGATGATGAACATGGTGTAATCATGTGTGAGTGAGGAAACTAACTTGAGAAGAGTGAAAGGTGCAAATTGAATATAAATGAGAAATAAGACTGATTATATAAAGTAGTACCTGTAGAGGGCTGACATGGTAGGAAATAGGTTCTGTAGCAGAGGAGTGACCTTATTAATTAACATGCGTTTATTAAACAACCTAACACGTCAGGTGCAGTGGATACAAAGACATCAATGAAATAGTCCTTGGTCTTGAGGAGTTTACAATCTTGCCAGGGAGACAGCAAAATAGATACAATATAGGGATGAGAGAGAGACTAAAAAGATTAATCTAGCAATAGCTTTTAGGGAGGATTGGAAGGATGAAGGGAATTAAATCAGAGAGGTCAGTGGCATTAATTTGGCTCACAGTCTGGTTTAGGTGGTAGCAATCAGAATAGAGATGAAAAGGTAAATGAGTCACTTTTGAAGGAAAAAAATGGGTGACTTGGTGTTTGCTTATGTAGGACAACGAAGATGAAAGAGTTGAATGTATCTTTCAAGTTTTAGACTTTGATGATGAGGTGTTGTTATTGACAGAGAAGTTGAGTTGGGGAAGGTGATGAATTTAGTTATAGAAAGATCAATAAAATTCTTGGAGTGGAGTCAAGATAGTGGAGTGAAGCCAGCATTTTGCTGAGTTCTCCCAACACACCCTCTCCACAACAATTTAAAATAATGCACTAGATGGAATTCTGAATGGGAAAGCCAAGAGAAAGTCATAGTGAGTCATTTTTCCAGTCTGTTGTAGCTTAGGAAGACAGAAAGAGAGGCTGGCCAGTAGTGCCATGCAGCAGAAGTGGCATTAATGGTGACAGCAGCACCGGCTGTGGGGGGAGTAGCTCAGTGCCCACAAGCAGTAAGGGGACTGAACACTGGGTCAGAAAGATCTTAGGGGACATCTGTAGTAGCTCTGGGAGAAGGAACAGATGCCATCTGGCAGCTCTGTTGCCCATTTCCCAGGTCCTAGTCATAGTTTAAGGGCAGAAAGAAATGGAGTGGTTGCAAAGGCTCAGGGGCCAGAGCTCCCAGATCTCTCCACTTTGGAAGCGCTGAAAACTTATAGGCCTCCAGACTGAGCTGTGAAAGCAGCAGAAGGACATAAAAGGCAGAAGCTCAGGCCCAGAATGACAAAATCCAAAATCAAGAATGGGAAAATGAGCAAACAAGACAAAAATAGCATGTAGACTAGATGAGCTAAAAGATACTTTAGAGTCTGCCTAGGTCACTTCTCTGATTTTATAGAGGAAGAATCTCAAGTACACAGAGGTGAAGTGACTTGTCTGTCCTAAGATACCAGCTGTTGTAGTTAGTGACAGATCTGGAGCTAGAACTCATGCTTTTTCCACCACATCATATTATCTAAATTCCACAGACAGGGCAGAGAAGCCAGTGTGGGTAAAGCAGCAGAGCACCTCGAGGAGGTAGCATGTGCCAGAGCCCTGAGCCCGAGAGCCTTGTATATAGCAGTGTCTTCCAAACCACCAGACCTGCTTCCAGCTCAGTTTCTGAAGCCAATCATTGAAGGGAGAAATTATGATGAAAAGGGGACCCACCTTCCTCATTACCACATCAACTTCTGACCAGCTACTGCTAACTAATTGCAGATAAGCCCAAGAACCCCTCCCCTACATTGGTCCTGCTTCTAGTTCAGCCCTCACCTTCATCATCTGGGGAGGCACTTCTTGTGAGAAGTGAGCCATTCTCATGTAGGGCAGACAGGCCAGCTGAGCTTCAGCACCCTTATGGAGAGATGGTAGGCAGCATGTGCCAGGCAAGTCAAACCAACACCTTGACTACGCTGTCCCTTCATTCTGTTGGAGACAGCCACAATTATGAATTGAAAAACTTTGGGAATAGTAATGCTTTCCACACAGTGTCCTCAGCCATCATCCTGGAAAATAACCCCTATGGAGATGCAGCCTGGGACCTATTCCTGCACATGCTACAGTCATGAAGACCCAGAAAATAAAAGTTCTGGTCACCAGTCTTTGGCACTATCAGATGGTTCAATATCAGAAAATGAGAAGATTATATCAGTGTAAGTGACATTAAAGAGGAGGAATTATCTCCCCTGCTTTGTTAGCACTCCAAGGACTGTCAGACTTTTCTATTGGACTACGTGCAGTTGAAATCTTCCATATGTGTTGTCTCCCCCACTGGAATGTGAGCTCCTGAAGAGCTAGGGCTATCTTACTTTTC